CGACAAAGATATAGTGCCAGCAGATCCTTTACACAAAGAGTTTGTTTATCGTGTACCAATGAAAGAACCAGTGAAAGTAATCGTTCCTAACGATTCTATACCCAAACCAGACTCCAACACCGCCAGAAATAGATATACGTTAGATTATTTTTGAATAAATATTTATAAGATTACATAATAAAGTTACCAGCATTCAAAGCTGCATTTGGTTTAAAGTAGGGGTATTTTTTACTCTACTCTTCATTTTTCCTTACACTAGCTTTTTTTTTTTGGTTTATAGACGAGCATGATTGTTCTAACTTACCGGTAAGATTGTTTTAACTTACTTTGTACAACTAACAATTTCTCTCAAACCCGTAGGTTTACAATGGTCCTGATTCCTTCTTTTACATCGATGGGTTTGACGTCAGTAAAGCTAACTGGATGCGCTATGTTAACCCGGCCTACTCCAGCGAAAGTCAAAACCTCGTTGCCTGTCAGATCAGACAACACATCTACTTTTATACCATCAAACCCATTGCTCCAAACCAGGAGCTTTTGGTGTGGTACTGTAAAGAGTTTGCTGAGAGACTCAACTATCCACTAACAGGAGAACTAATGCTTCAAAGGATTCGTAAGTTGTCATTTTTTTGTTTGTGTTTTTTCGATGAGATGTTGCTCTGTATTTACTTTATACATATGCATATTATTTAGAAGTTACGCCTGTATTATATAATATGTATATATATATATTGGTTTGTTTATACTTATATTTGATTCCAGTGCTAATAATACTAATTTTAGATCCATTAAATTAATGACGGAAGAGCTGAGTATCCTTTTCGAATTTTTGTTAAATATTTACCAGGGGTAAGATGGCCTTAAACAGTATATTCAAGACAATAGTTTACTTTCTGTATTTATAGAAAATTTCTGTATTCGTAGCATATTTGTAACGAATAAGAAAATATTATTTTTTTATTAATTGATGTGTTGAATATTTAAATTACTATTAATTCATAATGAAACTAGCCATAAAAAGTGAATTTTAACTTGATTTTTTAATTACTGTTATCTTCATCTTATAATCGTAATTATCTATATTGAATAAAGTTGGTGATGTTTATATAAATGTTCATTAAATTAGAATTACCTGTAGTGTTCATATTAGACAAAAGTAATCAAAAAGGTCTAACATTGTTTAGTATTTGCGAAATATCGGGTATTGTCAAAGCTAATTATTCGCGTTTATCAGTCAGAGGATGTGATAGTGTTCAGGTACTTGTCTAGGCATGTGTCTAAAATCAACTAATTTATATTTGTCCTGGAAATTGGTAATATTTTAAGAATATGTAATGAAAAATAAATTGTATTAAAGTAATTTAAATGAAATTACAAGTTTCAAACAAGTTAAAGTTTTTCGATCCATTCGGTCTTTTCAGAGCAACAATTGCAACCTGACAAGGAGCACTATTACATCTCTCGAGCGCATCAACTCACACCAACAGAGGGCAGTACGCGTAGCGATGAGGGTTACCAAAGCAACGGTGGTCATGATGATGTTTTCACTCCCCCAGAAGATACCAGTGACAGCGACAGTGATAATAATTACGTTCTAGATTTCAGCGTCAAGAACAAGAATCGAGAACGAGAGATGGAAACTCCCGAAAAGAAGATAGTGGAAGATCCTGATGACAAGAACGAATTCAGGAAAGTAAAGATCAAGATGTTGAGAGCCTACCACTACCGATCTAACAGTTATTCAGAGAAGAAGGAAGGAAAAGAAGAAAAGAAAGAACATACCTTTTCTGAACCAGATCGCAGTAATATTGAGGTTCTCGAAAGTCCCAAAACTGTCGATGACAATGAAAAGAAAGAATCTTCTGCCTTCACTACTTATGAAGGAAAATGTCCACGACTGTTGGATGAAAATCCCAACCCAACACCTTCTGGTATACTAGAAAACCTTCTTCTCCAGAAATACCCCGACAAAGATATAGTGCCAGCAGATCCTTTACACAAAGAGTTTGTTTATCGTGTACCAATGAAAGAACCAGTGAAAGTAATCGTTCCTAACGATTCTATACCCAAACCAGACTCCAACACCGCCAGAAATAGACTCTCAACCTATACACACAAAAAGGACTATCGAATGATCAGTTCCAGTGGCCATAGTCCCGAGATGCACAGCCCTGATTCTACCGATAAGGCTAACCAATTGGTCTCTTCGGCTCATAGTCCATCGGCTATTCCTGGGTTCACCTTACCTCCCCATCCACCAAACTATCTGTATATGAACGGTGTAACCCAGATGTTTTCTCCAGCTCACTTTAACATGTATGCTTACTCTTTTTCTGATACAGTACATTCTACACTGCCCAGCTCCACAAGTGGCTCCTACCCTAAGCTAGCTGAATTTTCGCCTCACCAGCTAGGTATGGTTCAAAGACATCCCTTACCTTTGGATCCTAAAGTCTCTCTAAATGGTTCTCATACTCCAACATCTACCAACGGCTATTCTGCTTACAATATCAACCGTGGCTATCGTTCACTGCCGTATCCACTAAAGAAAAAAGATGGAAAGATGCATTATGAATGTAACATTTGCTATAAGACCTTTGGACAGTTGTCAAATCTAAAAGTTCACCTACGAACTCACTCTGGCGAGCGTCCGTTCAAATGTGCCGTATGTGGGAAGAGTTTCACCCAATTAGCCCATCTTCAAAAACATCATCTGGTCCACACTGGGGAGAAACCGCATCAATGTGAGGTTTGCAAGAAGCGATTCAGCAGCACCAGCAACTTAAAAACCCATTTGAGGTTACATAGTGGTCAGAAACCATATGCTTGTGACCTTTGTCCAGCAAAGTTCACGCAGTTTGTACATCTCAAACTTCACAAGCGGCTCCACACTAACGAGAGGCCGTACACTTGTGAAACGTGCAATAAAAAGTACATAAGCGCTTCTGGACTCAGAACCCACTGGAAGACAACATCTTGTCGTCCAAACGTCGTACAAGAAGGGATGATGGAGTTGGATAAGAGCAATGGCTTCGAATTTGCCTTGACTGACAGTGACACCAGCAAAGAACCACTTTCACCTACCCGACCATTGTCCATCCAGTTACCAGGACCAATGACTGGAATAGGTGGTCAGATAAGCCATCTCACTCAACAAATTGTGAAAGATTCAGAAAAAGCCAAGGAACTACTTTCTCCACCTCCTCTGCACGACTCTTTTGGTGCACAGCGAGGATTAGAGTCAAAGCTCACCACAAGCGGCCCATTGTCTCCAGATGACGACTTGTCTAAAAAATGTGTTTTTGAACAAGATATCCACGGTTCAGAGGACACTAAGTAATAGACTAATTAGCTCTAAGCATACCAGTGATTCTCGTTTCTTGTTCCCACGCTTGCATGTTTGTTCTGATAACTTCATGTTTTATATCAGTATAGGGGTATGTACAGAGGTTTCGATTCCTAACTTATTTATTGCCGTGTAAGTATGTTTTTCGCCTGAAAGGAGATTAATATTTTCTATGTTCGTATTTTGATTTTGGAAGATCAATGTCTTGCTGTGTTGTAAAGATAAAGTGAATAGCTTGTTAGAGAAAAATATGGAATCCTTTAAAAAAGAAAACAAAAATAGGTAAGATAAATCATTGTTTGTTTTTTCTTTTCATGGAGATTAATTTGTCCCTTTTTTGTGATGATTGAAACAGCGGAAATATTTATCTCATAATAGAGAAGAAGGGTATAAGTTGTAAAGAAAGTTTATGTTTAGCTGACCTTTATTTTCGAATTTTAGCTGACCTTTATTTTCGAATTTTAGCTGACATTTTGAACAACGGAAAAGTAATTTTAATTCTTATTCTTTTAAAGAATGCAACTCGTTCAAGCCTTTGAACCAGACAAGACTTATGTGATTAAAGTAGATGTGACCCGGATGTTGTTATGTTTTATTGTATTGTCATTAGTAGTTCTTTGGGGTTATGGAGCTTGTTGATTCAAGTTTATGAAATCATTAGGAACCCACCGAATAATGTACGCCATGTAAGTGTGGTTACTTTATTAAGTGTTTAAAGTAGAGTTATTACAAACTTAAACTCTTATATGTGTCATGAAAATAGTTGAGTTAAAATTTGTGCTCGATTATGCATGTACTTCTTATATAAAATGGCGCCCGTCCCCTTCCTTCTTGAATAAAGTCAAAATACTCCTCATAATTATCAGATACAACAAGTAAAGTGATTTGTGACTAACATACTGTTTAGATTATAGTCACGTGATTCTTGTCAGTAGTCCGTGCTAAAAGAAATTAATATCTCAGTTGTAAAATTAAAATGTGCATTTGAATTGCAAAAAGTATTCGTTTGTGAGAATTTTTCTAAAATATGTGCTTTCACAGGGGATTTGTTTTTTTTTTAAAGTAATTTCTTAAAGTAACTGAATGTATGGTAAGATTATTTACAGTTGTACTGTTCTCATAATGTCCATACCCTCATTTATCAAGGCAATTTATATATATGGAGCGAAAGAGACGAAAACTTGAAATACAAAAGTAAGTTAAATCAGTGTATCCAACAGGATTTATTTAATGAACATTTAAATTGATATCTGAAATAAAATTTAAAAATCCAACAATATCTTAAAATTCTGAACTGAAATCTGGCGAAAATATTCCTGCCCTGCAACGGCAGAAAAATAACTAAATAACTAAATTTAATGAACAAAATAATGCTCAGAGACTTATAATATTTTATAAACTGTAAATTGAGACTAACGCAAGATATAAAAAATATAAGTTTAAAAAACACTAAAAATGATAAAGTGTATGAGTTATAGAATCAGCGAACTTATACTAATGTGTTCCTTTCACGACTTTCCAAAACAATATTGTTGGTTTTGTTCACCTCGCCCCGCAGTGGCACAGCGGTATGTCTGCGGACTTACAACGCTAGAATCCGGGTTTCGATACCCGTGGTGGGCAGAGCACAGATAACCCATTGTGTAGCTTTGTGCTTAATTACAAACAAATAAACGTTCATCTTAACACGTGAAAATAAAAACAACAACAAACTAATAAACCGCGAAGGCAACGTATAATTTGATATTAAATATAAATAAACTTCACAGAGTATTTCAGAGTTAAATGTAAGTTCGTAGTGTTTAAATGTCTTAAGTTTAGGTGTCCAGAAGATTACGAGCGGTAACTGTATGTTACCAATAATTTCCTAGCAGAACATTAAGGTGTGCAAGTCCATCGATGTTTCAACATTTTGTTATTTAGCCGATAATTAAGATGAACAAAACTTATTGATCTGATTTTGTAACAGTCTAGGTTCACCAGCTCCGCATTTGATAAGTTAGGCTTTTTAGTGTTGAAGTCTTAGTTATGCTAGCAACAAAACATGGAGTGTGTGTACGTAAAATAGTCGGGCACCTGGTTTTCATTTTACTGTTCACTTATAATTCTGTGCATTGTCTTGCTTCATATTGTTAAATAATGGTCAATCTTTCATAGTACTCGAGCACCAAAACAGTAGTCACAAACGATAGCACGGTTTTGAATATATAATAGCCAGGGATTTTTTTTTATTTCAATGTTTTCCTATACACTGTAGAACAAAAGAAGAAAGCGCATATCTTTTTTTTTGTTGTTACTGTAAAGGGTTTACAAAGTTATCTTGAAATAATTACTTGATATATATATATATATATATATATATATATATGTGTGTGTGTATAAGCAGGTTGTAAAACCTAAGTAGAAACAAAATTATGTACAAACTAAATGTGATACATAACGTTTCAGTCGTGATATTGTACAGCAAACGAAACACCACGTTCACATCAAAGTTCAACCTTCGTCTTATGGATTATTGTGGAAATTAGCTCGTTAACTAACTGTCTACAATTTTAACAATCAAAGATTAGAATAGTTCAATTATCTAAAAAAAAAAAAATGTTCGATCAACTTTCAAAGCGTTTTTATTATATTTTTTTGTTGTTGTCACCTCACAAGCATATAAATATTAATAGTTTGTATGTTTCATTGCACATTTGTAAAAGGAAAAGAACTACATGGCAAGTATTTTGTCGAGATGTTCACAGTATTCCCTATTGCAAAGAAGCTGTACCATATCGTAACCATCCAAACTAAGCTTGGTAAATTTACTTGTTAGAGATTGTGAATGTTTGAAATCATTATGAAAAATTGATCATAAAGATATAAACGAAACCTTTTTATTTTAATTTGATAAATCTAACTTTCCACAAAATACAGAACAATAATTCCTCGCCATTCATTTACGCAAATATATTAATAATTGTTGCTACGCTATATTTACCTTTCTTTTTCTGTACAAATGTATTCAATATAAAGATATACATTTTTTTAGCTTCAAAAACACCACCAGTGACTCAGCGGTGCCCCGTAGTGGCACAGCGGTATGTCTGCGGACTTATACTGTAAGAAACCGGGTTTCGATACTCGTGGTGGGCAGAGCACAGATAGCCCATTGTGTAGCTTTGTGCTTAACTACAAACATACAGACTCAGCGGAAACTCTGAAGGCTTATAACGCTAAAAATCGGGTTTAGTTACCCGTGGTGGGCACATTATAGATAATTCATTACTTAGCTTTGTGCTGAATAACAAACAACCAGAAACATGTCAATTTTTCTGTAGAAAAACCACAATCTTAACAAATCTTCAGATTCCAAAATGTAAGTATTTTGGTACCTAAATCCTTACTGTAATTGGAATGTATAGTTAAACTACAGTTCATTTAACATCGAATAGTTTTCAATTCAAATTTACATAAAATACAGAAAGACAAAAAAGTGTTTGTAATATTTCCAATAGACAGTTAAGTTAGAAAAAAATTCACTAAGACGTTTATTTAGCTCTTACAATAATCAAACGAGCAGAACTCATGTTGTGTGTTTCTTTATGCTGTTGTTTTATAGATTTTTCTAGTAATGGTGTTATTTCTTTAAATATCAGTACTAAACTATGATTGTTGTGTTAAAAATAAAGTAGCTTGCAACATAATTACTTTTCAGTGTGAATTATTTACACGTTTAACATAGTTTAGTATTTTTCCACCCAAATATTATAACCTGAAGAAGATAACCGAATATATTTAAAAGGGGCTTGTTATGAGTATCGGAAGTTCACTATAAACTTTAAATAAAGGTCCAGAGTTACACTCAAAATCTGTACCTCTGGACTTTTATTTATATTTGAAAGAGACTCTGAACCGTTCAAAGAAAATTCAGGTATAAAAGCATTATATTCATAAGTTGAATATAGATGGCAGCACCAGATATACTTATTTTATTTATTTCTTTATGTTATATTCTGAATCACTTACCATGCGCACTTACATTAGAGTAGTTTTTATTGTTATTATAAATTATACAAGTAAATAAAAAACTTTTCAAAAGAAGTAAGTAATTATAGAGATGGCTAATATTGATCAATTTATCATCTTCAAAAAGAATGCAAACAAGATTGTAGGGATGACATTTGCATCATCCTTACATAATAGCACAGGCACACAGTGTTGTAGAAGGTTAACAGATAAAATAGGATAAATTAAACTCAGTTGTAATTGAAAAATATAAATATTGCTGTATGTTAATTCGTGCCTGTGCTATTATGTAGGGATGGTGCAAGTTCCATCCCTACTATCCTGTTTGCATTGTTTTTCAAGGATTGATATTAGCCATCTCTATATTTACTTCCTTTATTGAAAAGTTTTATCTTTCTTTATTTTTTTAAAGCAGTATTTCAATAGACATAGGAAGGTTGTATTATAAACAAGTTCTAAATACGATGAGGTTCTAACTGTAATATTTATTGTTTATCTATTATTGGCTGGACATTCCTGTTTCACTCTGTACTTAAGTTTTTAAAAGGAACACACATTCCTGTAAGAAAGCTAACTGTAACATCGTTTACACTAAATTATAGTTATTAATAATACTTATAAAAGCGGATACTCCGCTTGAAACTATGTCACCTCAGTAAAATTGGTGGACAACATTGTTTTTTTTTAAAAGAAGCATAAGAACAAGAAAATTAAACTTTTTGCTTTGATATTTAGAGACATTCCCAGAACTTGTGATTCAATCATTACATAGATATTGTTATAAAAGGAAATACTATATAGTATTGTAAAGTTCTGATGACCTATTGGGAAGATATGTAAAATAACATTCCGAGCCATCCCTACATAGACAGTGCTGCCACCTGTCTGATATATATGTTTATATTATCATTTCAGTTCCGATCGGTACAATTAGTTTCATTTTGATCAAGAAGATAATAATCCCCCCCCCCCCAAAAAAAACG